CAATCTCGATCTTCCAATCGGCAAATCTATCGGGTGGTTCACTTACGGTTCGCGTTTTACATCATACCAATCTTTGTCACAATTAGTTGTTAACCTAGCTTGACTTTTAATTGTTTCTTCGCTCCTAATCGTCTGATGATCAAGCGTTCAGATTGACTGACCGATTTTCGTCACCGAAATGTACTATACGAAGTTCTCTTTTGACTGAGCCCCTCTCGTTTACCGGGATAACTCCATTCTGTAATAACCTGCTTTGCTGCTTGGTTCCAAGCAATAATTTTCGAGATAATCCCCGCGCCCCCAGCGGTTTGCAATAGAATGGGCTCGGTCTGCAATGTTCCCACTTAACGCGTCCCCCTTTGGAAACGTTTCGTTGAGCGACGTTTGCGAACTCTGGTCGTTTGACGGTTTTTTATTGTTTATCTCTATTAATTTTGTTCCGGCTCTGGGGCCCTATTCTCGAAATCGTGCGATATATATATATGGACGCTAATTTTCGCACGACCGATGTCGCATGCGTAACGCAAAAGCCACTGATTTATATTCTTGAAATGAAGTGAAAAGTGTAACCCGAAAATTTTCGTACGCGATACTCTCACAGCGTTGCCAGGTTTAAGACAAATATTTGCACCAATTAGAATGCTGCTATAACAAGAAATGAAAACTTAACCTTACCTTAACATATATAAATCGTACTGTCAATGTACATATATATTGCTGCGAATACCTAGAGCAGATTTTTCAAGAGCCGTGTAATTTCTAATCGGAAAGTTGACTGAAACTTCGTTCAAACGATAATATTCGCATCGTGACGCCGTATTATTCGTGAATAAAATATCGTGAGCTGTTTTCGTACGTCAAAAACGCTTCTGAGGTTAGTATATTTATTTTTCTTTTCGCGCGAAACTATCTTAATATAATACTTGTGTGTAAAATACATAAAATGGTCTACGAGTATACTATAATTATTTTTTTATTAAAGCAGGATAAAGTTAGAAAATCTTTACATGAAATGCAGCACTCAACTACCGATAAAGAAACTGTAGTTGGTGCTGACAGAATGATCAAATCGGCCCCGGTAAGTAAACTATTATTAATATAACAAATTGACGTAGGTATTAGTAACAGATTTGATCAAAATTACTTTGTCTATTTATTAAATCTATTTTGTTATTTAGGTTAGGCTATCAGAGAAAATGAACACTAAATTGAGGTCAGGATATATAACTATGGAACAAAAAGAAACACTAGTTGAATTGATGAAACAAAATTCGGAGTTAAAATCAAGCAAATTTTCTTCAACATTTACAACAAAGGATGCACAAAGAATGTGGATAGCACTCGCTGAAGAACTACATAAAATACCCAACGGAGCTATAAAAGATTGGAAACAATGGAGAAAGGTAAGTAGAGAAGAACATATATTTATAACTTTGTAAGATATAACATAGGCTGTGGTCTATTTGATGCTGCAAATGCTTCAAAGCGTTCTTCTTCTCCTTCTTTCTTCATTGAAAGAAAGGAGAAAAGGAATGCTTCAAAGCATTTGTAGCGTCAAGTGGACCGCAGTCATAATTGATTCTTGTAATAATTATTTAATTATATGTAATTACCCAGATAGCAACGTGTCTGCATTGTTGCTGGCATGTTGCCGACAACATAGTATGTGTTGCTAGCAGAATTGTGTGGCAACTGAGTCCGCATTTGTCGGCAAGTTGATGCCTTCACGAGATAACAATTTTGTGTAGCAACTTGCCAGCAACTTGTGCTGCTCTAAAATCGTCTGATTTAAAATTTGAGCTGTTGCTGTCATGTTGCTGTAATAATTCATAGGATCACACAATGCTGTCATATTGTTAGCAACGCGAAGTAAATTTGATGCTGCTCTCTTGCCGACAAATTGCTGGCAATACATATATCCAATGTTGCCTGCGTGTTGCTTCAAATATTAAATTACTCGAAATCAATTGAAGCAAATGTACGGCAAGTTACCAGCATCACAAGCAATCACAGGTTTGCGTAATTTTGCTCAGACACGCTTCGCTATCTGGGTAGTTTAGAAATTTTATTAGTAAGAAAATAATTTTTTTTAAATAGACTTGGCAAGATCTGTGTTCAAAAACAAAAGCAAAACATAGTCAAATAAGTAAATACATGAAAGGAACAGGTGGTGGCCCTGCTTTATTACCTTCGGAGCAATTAACATCTACGGAACAGCAGGTTTTGGAAACAATTAATGCAACAGCAATTAGTGGCCTTGATAATATTGCAGAAACGGAAGCAGTATTTGTACGTACTTTCTTTTTTTATACATAATTGTAATGTTAATTATATAATTTTTCTTTAACTTTGTACATACATACATATATAGCCTTGGCCAAAGGTATTATAAGCACCTATATTTTTTCATTTATCTGGAATTCTTTTACCTGCATTGCTTTCTATTAATTACCGACATTATACATAAGATTAAACTTTAAACTTATGTATAATGGCGGTAACCAATAGGAAATGATACAGGTAAAAGAATTCCAGGTAAATAAAAAAAATATAAATGCCTAATATTTCTGGCCAAGCTTATATTATCTATTTGTTAAATATAATTTTGTTTATAAGAATATGAAGGTGTAGAATACTTGGATGAGTATCAAGAAATATCAGATTCTGAAGGTCCTGAAGCAACGGTTGTGGAGGCAATGAGTACGAATAATAATGAGGCTACAACGTGCAATATGCAAAATTCTTCTACAAAGAATCAAATAATGATTGTCGTAAATAAAGAAAATAAAGTAATGGCTATTAATAACAAAGAAAATAGAAATAAAATCGTTAAAAATACACCTATGACAGAGAGGAACACAAAAACATGTAACACAAAACAAGGACATATTAAACAAAATGAACCACACAAACAAACAGTAGCAAGCCATAGATTTGAAAAAACAATGGAATATACTAATGATTTAGTAGGCCTAACAGCAAAAGATCAGCAGATGAGAAAGAAATATTATAGGAAAAAATTAAAATTAATGTTAAGAGATGTAACAGTAAAAGAAAGAATGGCAACTGCATTAGAAAATATATCTAATGTTTATCCGTTTATAAAAGACTAATTTTCAAGTTGTGATTTTCAAAGACTTCATATCTTTTATTTGTGTTTATGATTTAAAAGATTATTTTTATTTTTATGTATACTACTATATCAATATTAATTTGTGTTACTGTACTACTAATACTTGCCCGTTGGGCCTTATACTTGCTAATTATCTTAATTATTACTATTACTATATATTATATTGTCATACTCATAATACTAAAATAATAAT